ATTATTAAATAGGTAAATGTATATAATATTAAAAGTAAAACTTTAAATGAAAGAGTCAATTATATTATTTTTTATTTGGTGTAATATACATTTAATAATGGTAAATGATTTTTGTACGACCTTTTTATCTCACTTTTTTGTATAACCTGATATGACATTTAAATGATTAGTTCTTTTAATTCATATGGGATCTATGATATTAAATGTATCAACTCATTTAATGATATGTAAAAGTTGTATTAAAGTGTGATATACAAAAGTTGTTCTTATAGCACCACCCTTTACTAATTTAATGTCATATGATTATTGTAAGAAAATATTATGTATGTATTTACTGATTTAATTTCATATAATAATATATTATAATTATGAATTTTCAGTTTTATGTGACATTATAATTATATAATTTTTATTTAAATTAATATATATTTATTCATTTAATGTCATATGATTTAGATAAGAAAATATTGTGTGTGAATCAACTACTTTTCTTCACCTACAATAAGAGAGTGACTGATGCCTTGTGCCATTAGGAAATAAAAATTTGAGAAGCTCTTAGGCTGCAATATTACCTTTGTTTTTGCCTCTTAAATTGAAATTTAATTTAACTTTGAATGTACTACTTTGATTTAGAAGGTCTGTTTTTTGAATTATTTAACAAAAAAATATTAATTTTGATTTATATGTATCTTAACCATCTACACCAAAAAAAAAAATAATAACTAGGGGGCAATTAAATTAATAATTCAACTATGATGGTATGTTTGGTTAATTTGACAGAAACATGGGGAAGAATGAGTTTATTAATCGGTTAAAAAATTCATCTCCTTTCTCAAATCAAACATTTTATAAAGCACAAACATAAAATTGAACCTTATCTAGAAATTCATGATTTTTATTTTTAATTCACTAATGTGTATTACCTTGTTAAATTCTCTTACTGCCGGAAAATTTAGCTAGGCACATTATGGCAGTGAAATTTAATTCGGTAACATATATTTACAATGCTTGTCGTTGTTGTTGTTGTGGGGTGTGTGTTTGTTTTTTTTTTTTTATTTTAATTGCATAATAAGAGGCAACCATCTCTCATTTCTTATTTTACCATATTCACATGCCATACAACTTGAATTCAGAACTTTTTATTTTAAATAAGCAAAGATGACAATTGAACTATTTACGTTGTTGGTAGTTAACATTTCGATAGACATCAATAATTATGCACTATTAGTCACGTGCCAATATATGTTGCTGATGTTGCTTGTTGATAGTCTGATATATATTTTTTTAACGGGGTTACAAATTGGGGGTGGAGTTGTTGATAGTCTGATTACTAAGTAGTGATAATGGAAAATGAAATTCAAGATTTCAATGCACCTGCTTTTAGTCTACGACTACACCTTACTTTTGAAATATATAATTTCTCTCTTTTTCATTTTTGGGCAGAGAGAATTCTTTTTTATCCTTTAATTACTTTACCTAACTTATAGGTCATGTAACTCAAATATAAAATATTTTATATTTATTGATAAATAATAAATAAAATAAAATAAAACTACATCACTTAAATCATTAATTGGTAACTTTCAAAATATATAATTATTATCTTAGTTAATAGCATAATTCATTATTAATAACTTAGTAATTTAGTGCTAATCATCTTCTAATTGGAGTAAGAAATTTTAAATTCGAATGATATAGTATGTAAGTGAAGTAGGTTAAAGGATAAAAAAAGGTTAAAACCCCATTTTGGTCATGAACTATTGTACGGACCACCGATTTGGTCCCTGAACTAAAAAAATCTTTGATTTGGTCCTTACTGTTTACCATTTTAACCCCGATTTGGTCCTTTCATTAAAATTTTACCTACGTGTCCAGTTAGTTTACTATAACATGATGACATGGTAATATATTAATACACGTGGAAAACAACTTGGTAAAAAATAGTGACATGGAAAAAAAT